TTCACTCTGCATTCACTTGGCTGCTTAACGTTACACGCACATGCAGCGGAGAAAATGACAGAGACAGAGATATTATCTAATCTCCATCCCCGCCGAAAAAAAAAAATTAATATCTGCAGTATGGGAATACTTAGGACATTTAAAAAAACGAACGCCGGGTTGTCCTTGAGGACGGATCCAATTTGCAAAAAATGTGGATGCAAAGTGGCTGCAAAAGCAGGCAATACATCCAACATCTTCGCTCATATTCGTGGACATCATCCCTCCGTGCAGATAATGGTATGCCGCATTAATAACAAGTTATAAGTTAAGGCCGTATGATTTCCGTGAAGCAGAGGGAATCCCAGTGCAGTCGTGAACATGGAATTTACAGTATAACGAGGATGTCACATAAAACGAACAATCTGATGGATGGATAAGTCAAAAGTAGTTATGATACGTGTCTGTGAATATTAAAGCACAAAGAGACTGCTATATAAATAATCTGCTTGTTTCTGCATGTCTCTGAGCGGCGCCGTTTTATCTAACATACTGCATACTGAAGTACACATACATAAATGGTGTTTTCAGCGTCTAAGATACATAAATATGAACATCAGCAGAGCTGCTCTGAGAGAAAACGTAAATAAACATTTCCTAGTTTTATCTGAGAAAAAACATTGTCAAATACACTCTGAAATTCAAAGGTCTGCTATAACCCGTCAAAATAAAAGTTTGATTTAATTTTAAATTATGACAGAAATATATTAGCATTGTACGATGTACTTCAATGTTATAATAACAACAATAATAATATTCTTTATAATAAATACTTTCATTAAAATGGTTTCAAGTTTGTTGTAATAAAGGATTTGTTCACTCAAATAACTTGCTCTTGTTCTTTTAAGAGTCATTGTTACTGATAAGAATTATTATTCAATATATACTGTGATAACCGTGAAATCGTGATATTTTCTGAGACGATTATCATACCGTGAAAATCTCATACCGTTACAACCCTAATCAACTTTATGGGGACAAATGTGTCAAAATAAATAAGTTTATTTTTTTATTATTATACATATATAATGTTTATATTAAAATAATATAAACCATAATATATATAATATAAAATAATAAAATATATATTACGTCATTCTTTCATTTATCATGTTTTCATGTCTCTGCAGCATGCAGTATACAGTACATGCTGCATGTTTATTTGTGTTTGTAAGCTAAAATGCCAATTTAACCCATCTCTTGTGTCTTTTCTCTCTCATGTCTGTACAGCAGGTGTGAGGGTGGTCCTTTGAGCTCTGACTGACATCTGTCACGCTGCCAATCATCCTCTGTATCATCTTTAACCTCACATTTACTCAGTGCTTTAAAGGGATCATATGATGCGATTTCAATTTTTCCTTTCTCTTTGAAGTGTTACAAGCTCTTGGTGCATAAAGAAGATCTGTAAAGTTGCAAAGACTAAAGTCTCAAATCCAAAGAGATATTCTTTATAAAAGTTAAGAGTCAACCATGCCTACCTAAAACGGCTCGTTCTAACACGCCCCCACATATCTACGTCACGATGTGGGAAGATTTGCATAACGCCGCCCAAATGTTCACGCAAAGAAAGAAGGCGTAACTTTTTTTAAGGCGTAATTTGCACAACAAATGCCTCGTTTATAATGGGTTTTACTGGTTTTTTCTTGTCGTGCCGGGACACAGCATCACAGTATGGTAAGGGGCGTAACATTTCCGTCACACACTTGAGGTATTCGGCCAATCACAATGCACTTGCCAATCACAGCACACCTCGCTTTTCAGAGCGATGAGCTTTGTAAAAATCGACTCGTTTCAGAAAGGCGGGGCATAGAGGAGAAACAATAATGTACATTATGTGGAAAATAATGTGTTTTTTGAACCTTAAACCGCATAAACACATTTCATTACACCAAATACACAACATAATGTTCTTTTTAGCAATGTCATATGACCCCTTTAATGTATGTCTTTGACCCACAGGCTGAGCGGTGACCCACTGCCCCTCTGTAGCTATCTTCATTCAGCAGTCACTGCCTGTCACTCACTCTTATGCTCCGCCCCCTGACTGAATAAAAACCAGTGTGGCTTAGAAGTTCTTTTTTTTTTAGTTGAGGGGAATCTCATTGTGCTTTTGTACAGGATGCTCTGGTTAACCCTCAGAGACCCACTGTTGGAAAACTGCAAAATAAAGCAATTAAGTAAGATACATTTTTTGCTAATCATGAATCAAAACAACAGCTCACTCTCTTAAAAAAGTATTACAACAACACAGCCACTGCTTGCAGACACTACTGCTGACAGAGTTTTGGATCAAATTAATGTTTGAGAATAAATATTTTTATTTTTTAGGTGTAGCGAAAAGAACAAATCATTTAATTTTTCACCTGCAATAAGGAAAATAAAGAAATCATTCCAACAAAGTGACACATATTGAGAGCGCAACCTTTTCTTTTGCCTCTTCAGATATAAAGCTTCATATAAAGTTCATTATAATCACTATAAACTAACCCTATTTATTTTTAGAATAAAAATAAATTCAAATATTATTAAACCATTATTAAATATTTTATTTTTAAAAAATCAATAAATGTTATGTTTTATATTAAAATGAATATATATTTAATTAATAAATTCTGCCAAAACAAAACAAAATGAGTCAATGATAAAATTAAATAAACAAAAAATAACACTAAAATTACAAAATACAAAAAGGAAAATAATAAAACAAAATGTTGTAAAGCTGATGCATATACATTTTTTTAAATGTAAAATTCAACAAGATGTTTGGTCATTTATAGCAAACTTCTAGGGACAATTTTGCCATCCAAATATAGCAACTTAAACTGACAACATCCACATCTACTAACCAGATTAGCAGTGTACACTGTTCTGAAGTCAACGGAGGTCCGGCCAAGCATGAACTCATTCAAATGCTGCCGTTATTCCTGTTTGCACCCCAGACACACACACACACACACACTAATTAAGTTAACCCTGATCCCATGAAGGCCTTTCCTCCTCTTTAGTGCCACTGATTCAATAAGACTCCTTTTTGACTTCCCTATCGCCCCGGCTGTGTTTCAACAACAAATCCCAAGTGCTGACACACACACACACACACACACACACACACACACACACACACACACACACACACACACACAC